CATTGAAACCAAATGTTTAATCACGCGTTTGTTGTGGCGATGAGTTCATTGAAATACACACAAGAAGCATTGCACTTGTATATTGTAATCAGCCGACCGTGATTAAACATAATAACGTATTCGCTTATTTTACGGTTAAATTTGTACAATAGTGTTCATTCGATAATCAAGCCTTTTATAACTTTATGACCACAGTGAAATATTTTATTCGGCCTCGCGTTAAACGAATATCTGCATAATTATACTTAATCCATTTGTTTAATTGTTAAAATAATTCAGTATGATAATGTAACAGTTACTGTTGAATAATTATTAATGAATAGGTCCCCAATACGTTCTATATAATAGAATGTATAAATTCTTTTCTAAACTAACATTGACCATATAATTAAAAATCGTTGATGTTACATCCGACAAATATTTTTCTATAGAACTTTATGTAGAAATAATAATAATAAAGTAAAAGTTTATGGCAAAGTTTTCAAAATATTTTAGATCGCTTGATATTCTAACGGATCGCTTCGTTAGACATATTAATCTTTAAAATATTCAAAACAATAAAAAGTTCTATTTCCCTAAGAGATAAGATTATATTCTTAAAACTACTCTATGAACAGGCCTTTTCTTTGGATTAAACATTATTATTTTTATACTCCCTCGTGTATAATACATCTTTATGTCTAAACATGTAGCCGTTGTACGTTTACGTTTATATACTATTGCTTTAAAATATTTCTGATCAATACTGTGTGTTGTATCATATTTTCCCTAGTTATTTGTGTTCTGCACTTTAATAAAAATATACTTATGTTGATATCTGAAGCATTCAAAATCAATACCCTTATAATTAACTAATGAGTTTGAAAGTCCAAAAGTTTCCAATAAAATTCTATTGATATTGATGTATATCTTTTAAAAAGTTATTAAGAGATGTATTAGTAAACGCATGTTTGGTATAATTTATTAAACGCTGCGCGAAAACATCATAACCGGTGTGGTCAGGAGAAAGTAACAGCAGATTTTTAACTAATCGCATTAGAAATTATGCTTACAGTCAAATATAAAAATATATGTATTTTAGATTTAAACATTTAATAGAAATTATGAAACCAACGTGGTGTCATCGACCGAGGTCGTTGGACACGGTTTATTCGAATTCCTACGAGCCTGAATTATTGTTTTATCGTTCATATGTAACACGTTCATGGGAAAAATATTGTTTTATGCATTTTTTAATTGAACAAACACGACTTTCTGAAGTATGTACCGTATAGAATCTTGTGAAATCTGTTAATTAAAAATTGTTTTACTCTTTATCGAAATGGTAATTTTTTTTAAATAATTAACTGTGTTAAAATATATTTATAACAAGTTAGATTTACAATTTTCAATATTAATGTGATTTCATTAGTAATGAACCAGGGTTATTTAAAAACACCCCAATCCAAACAAAATCCACTGGGCTTTTTTGAGTTTTCTCCATTCGAAAAAAAAAATTAAGATCAGAAAATGTTGATGTTTTCTTCTGTATCTTAAGTTTGCTACCATTTTTCTTATTGGGACACTAGAGCACTCTTGTTATTGCTCAACTTTTATGTGGCCGCTGACATCTATTTAAAGTTTTTTCAGTGATGGGTAATGGAACCTTTTTATTTTTCTATTTACTGCCTTTAATAAATTTACTGTTGAGACAGCAAAAGAAAATTTACAATAAATGCCTATTGTTGCAAGGGTTAGAGTCAGCATACCAACTTTTTATTTTAAACTTCAATGTTTGTTTTGTGATAAAGGCATAGTTTACGATTTTACTGTAAAAATAAAGGAAAAAATTAGAGTGGAATATTATTAACTACTTCATGCAATTCAACAACTCATACTGTTTGTATTAACCGGCTTGATTATATTTAAAGAGAAATTTCAATGCTCGTTTTGTAGTCTTGAAAAATTTGTGACATACTATTTAATACAAAATGCTTGGCATGTTACAAAGATTACCACTTTTTGTCAAATTAATACCACCTCTAACGTTGTCAGTATAACACAATCTTTCTTTTTGTTGTTCAGATATAATATTTTCTCTCACCTCTTCACTAACTTTTTACCTTACACCTTAGGGGTTTTAACTTATTAGTTAGCAAAATTAATTTTTTGGAGGAAAAACACTGTAGTAATGAAGAGGACTTCCAAGACCATTTTTTTTTCTACTAAAAGAGAAGGTAGGAAAAAGTCACATTTTGATAATTACAAAACTTTATTTTTAAGTATAAAAAAGGGTTGAAAGCGAATGATGACATTGTGGAAACACAAGATGATTGATTAACTATAACTTGTACAATATCTTTAAGAATATAAAATATATTATAATTTTCAAAAAAAATGTAGTCGTATCATCATTTTCCTTTAAAATAATATACGCTTAAGTTTTAACTGGAAATATGAATAGAGCGTTCAAAAAGTAAGGAAGCAGGCTAGTTGTTAAAATAAGAACAATGGAAATCCATTTCCTTACTTTTTGAACACTGATATATTTAACTAGCCTTTCCTGGATGTATAATAAAACAAAATTATCAAATAGTGAAAATATTTTAAGATCTTATACAATCATTATACTTGGTACAGCTTTTTTTTTTAATACCACAATTTTTTCTCGGGTAAAACTAGGTTTTTTCAAAAAAAAAAAACCCATAATCACACCTAGTGGGCTTTTTATCAAAAAAATTATTTTTAATAACCTTAAGATAACTAGTTTATTATATAGGGTGTTCATTAAGTAAGGAATCTGGTTTCTATTGTTCTTATTGTTTGTAACAATTGACCTATTTCCTTACTTACTGAACACGTTGTATATATAATATATATATATATATATATATATATATCTATATATATGTCTTAATGATATGAAAATCAATTAGTCGTAACACTATATAAGATATAGAATTGTAATGGTAATATTTTTCATCTTAAAAGTCCTCAAAAACTAAAA